TCCACACAAACAAAATTGATATTAAAATCAGTGAAGCACATTTAGGACTCGAGCCTAATTACAAGCTTGTCTGGGTAAACGGTAATAGCAAATGAAAATGAAAAGCATACCATCCCCCTATTCTCTAATGAGATTCTGACCCAGAGGTCAAGCAAATTATGAATATTTCTGAAACTGGAAAAAAAGTGCAAGATATATTTTTGAATGCTTACATAATGGAAGAGGGGATTATGGAAGAATACTTCCTGTCATTTGTTTGGGCAATGATGAATAAGGTAGAGAGACAGAAAGAGAGAAAAGATGAGACAGACAGAAGGAGAGATAAGGTACTGGGAGAGACATAAAGACAGAACTGGGCCAGCTAGGTCGGGCTGAGCCGGGCAGACACATGGGGAAACAGGAGAGGAGGGTTGTCCGTGTTTGTCAGGGAGGTCAGGGAGACCTTTGTGGAAAGTAATTGCTTGGGAAGCAGGGGAAGGTTAAACACACGCGCTGCCACGACAGAAACTACTCCTAAATCTGCAAAATAAACCTAAAAAAAATTCACTGGAGTAGGACAGCTAGGATGGGAATAGACTAACCAAAAATTGTAAAGGAGATAACACAAAAAAGGGGACGAATGTTCTGGCTTGTCATACAATAAAAGTGAATAGGGACAGTGGCTGAACACATTTTTCTAAACCCCCAAAGTCATCTTTCTCACAGGCATTGAACTATACAGCATATTCTAACAAAATACATTATTTTAAGCAAATGATAAATTATTTCATGCTGATTTGCTTAGACAATTACGTGGTCCCATAAACAAAAATCAAATAATCACATACTTTCTCAAGCACTTATTCAGTATCCTGTTATCAGTGGTCATGGGAACATAAATGTCCTGTGAATGATCTATATACCACAGAGGAACACAACCATAAAACATGAACTTTTAAGTAAAATGATCTGACTTGGCTGCTATCCTTGTGTATCTACTGAGAAATCAAATCGGCAACTGGCTTGAGGCCAATACTGGGTGAAAGCAGGAATTTGAAATAATTGATGATTCCTCTGTGCTCTCTTTCTAAGACTGCACTGCTTCCTTTAGAAAGCTTATGAGCAGGAGATGACATTCAAGTTTTTTTTCTTCTGGAAAATACTAATTAAATTATCACCTTCTTAAGCGCCAGGAACTTGTTTGTCATCTGACAATCAGCAGTTGACAGACTGTGACCTTGTCTGTTGAGGCAACGTCATTTCTGAACCGAAGGTAAATCAAGCTGGTACTTTCTAGGTGCTTCAACAGCAGATTTCTGTGAGGATGCCAAATAAAATTTGATTGACTGACTGGCCTCTTGAATACTTGATTTATTGAGGTTGCGCTGAAGAGCTGCACATTTTTATGTTGTGGAAGCATCTTGCTATCGCTACAAGGTAAACAGCCAAGACAGATTCAATTACACCAGGCACATTTTAAACGTCTTAGCATGGCATATCCATACAATCAATGCTAATCACAAAGCAATTTGACTCAGAGATCATGGTCAGGGCTTGTCCCTCAGGACACATCTCTAGAGAATTCATATTGATGCTTTTGCGTTCAAACGTATTTTTGGGAAAGCACAAGTGCATCTTTGTGAGTACCAGGTATGATTGAAAACAGACGTGTTCCTAGATCAACATATTTGGTCCTGGAACAACATTCCTAGATTGAGATATTTATAGATAAGTGGTTAATAAGATGGGGTTTTCAAAAGCAGATTCTTAAACTTCCACATTTGGTCCACGCAATCTTGAATATTTGGTTACATCTAGGGATGCACACAATATTATCGGAACGTTATCGGAATTGGCCGATAAAGGCTTAAAATGTAAACATTGGCCGATTAAAAAAAAAGCAGATATGCCTTGCCGATAAGACGAATAGTTCACATGTGCTCAGGTTGTGCTAGTGATAAGATGACGTTAACGTGTAACTTTTGCCTGAATGATGCTTAGATTCACCAGTGTGTGATTTAGTCAACAGTCACTTAGTCACAGTCAGCCTCCCCTGGGTCCTAATGCCCCTCCAGTAAGGCATTTTATTTATTTAGAGGGCACTGTAGGCCTACTTGTAATCAAATGAAAAGTAAAATACACAAATAACATTAAGATACTTGTGTTTCTAAATAAATAAAGCTATTATATATTATGAAAACTTCAATACATGGAGCACTAAAAGATTTTTACAGTTCTTTTGCTTTAGACCATCTTTTATATAATAAACAAAACAATTTTAAGGTCTCAACTGCATCTGTGTGAAAAAAAGAAGAAAAAAAAAACTCCGGCAGAGATTAATTTAATTATAGTTATTTTCGAAGGTTTCAATGTACTCTCATTAAAAAGGAAATTTAATAATGTTTTTAGTTCTAACAAATAGTTTTTTTTTACTAAAAAAGTAGGCAAAATTTGAAATAATTTGTTTATAATTTTCTGCACAGGAGAGACTTGGTGTTGTTTCAAAACAAAATGAAATATTGGTATCAGCATCGGCTATCGGCCAAAATCATTTGAAAAATATTGGCATATCGGATATCGGCAAAAATCAAATATCTTGCATCACTAGTTACATCCTAACTCAAAATGGTCGATCCAGGACCAACAAAGCTGATCTTACTCCAAAACACCACCGTACATTTACATATTTGTGCACACATGAATAATCACAGTGCAATTACCCATCTCCTCCATCAGAGGATGCAGCAAACTACTGCAATCTGACATGCTTGCAAATGCTATACCACATCACTCCAACAGTGCGAACCATACACCTGAAGCAGTTCTTTAAAACGTCAAACTACTGCAGTGTGCTTGACTGCACATTTGTATACAGTATATGCTCTGCTATATCATTCTTCTTTATCATTTTATGAAATACTTTTGTCATTGTCAACAGAGCATTTAAACTAACATCTCCTAAAAAAAAGTCTATCTCCCTTTTTTATCACCTGCAGACAGGACATAGTAAAAAAAGGCAGACTTTTACATAAGAAAACATTTTACATATGGTTAGACTGATTATAAATGGTTAATTAATAAGACTGGTTGCTAAAATTCCACACTAAAGTTGTGAAACTGTTTAATTAATTTGTACTGTTTGAATGTGAATGTGTATATAGGCATTATAGCATGTTTGTTTGTGGATGAGGGCATGGTCGGGCAGAGACGATTTCTGTCTCTAGTGTGTCACTATTAATAAGAGACAGCCGCCCATCCTGATACACACTCTCAGTGCCTGTCTGTCTCTTTAAGTAAACCGCCCCTCAGGTCCCGCTCATTTCACATGCTGTATTTGCAGAGTGCCAAGAGACTGGAAATTACACTGAGATAAAGCAAAACCGCAGTAATGTCAGAAAAAAGAATGAGAGGTGGGGGGGGGGGGGGGGCTTGGAGGGGAA